AAGAAATAGTTTTCTTGTAATCCTTTTTCTATTCAAACAATGAAATGATTTTCTTTCTAGCAACAAGTGCGACATCAGTCACTCTACCGTATCAATGTACGACTTACAGTTCAATCAATGAAATGTCACGTCTCTCAAATTATTCTAGCTGCTGTTATTGCGATTCTAGCTACAATGGTTGGTATCGATTTATAGGAGCGTCAGGCAGCCAATTGATTACATTTCCTGTGAACACAGGTTTTTGTGGTACGAATGCTCCCGGTTGGTGGAATGGTACTCATCCATCAACTGTTGGTGCAACGGCAAATGGAAATTTTTGTGCTAATTATGCTGGATATATATGTAATCCATCGTACTCAATTGCTTCGGTGCTTGCAACTAATTGTAGTGGATTTTATGTTTATTATTTAGTACCACTTGCTTGCCCTGGCATTTATCCACGATATTGCACCATGTGAAATTGCGACTTATTACGCGAAAACTTTAAAATATTTTCGTTTTTTTGAACTTTTGATTTTCTGACTACTTTATGTAACATTTTGTTTTTATGTTCTATTTTTAACGGCTCAATAAAATCATATATTTATTTGATGAAGAAGTTGAATCAATTTTCAAAGAGTAAATAAGAATGAAAATAAATACCTATTGTAAAAAGATAAAGGTGAGAATTTGTATCTCTTTCATTGACTTCTGACTATAATATTACGTAGTAATAAAAGTTTTCTTTTGAATGATTCTCATGTGGTTAGTACATATGGTTTTGCTGATTTTATTTCTTACGAACAATTAATAGAGATCTATAATAGATAATTAGAACGTAACGGTATAAGTTCTTCAAAACCTTTTAGTCTTCTTTTTAGGAAAAAAAGAAGTATTTAACTAAAAGAACATTGAATGTGAGTACTAGAGGCATTTTCGAAGAAGATACATTTGTTTCTCACACAGCAAAAATTGTAGGAAGATTTTCACACTATAATGCTAGAGTGTAGAAACAATTAATAACTATTGTCTATCTGTCTACCGATAACACATAGTAATGATCTACGTGGAGTAGGAAAAAAACATCGTATAAAATAAAAAGCAGACAATATTGAAGCATTAGAATACAAATCAATCGATGAATAGTATATCAAGATTAACAATAGACAATCTCTGCAGACAATGTATTTCACTATATCTAACTTCTGTTGATTTCATTACTATGAGCTAGATAGTAAAGTATAAAAGAAAAAAAAACAGAGGAACCATAGAAGTTAAAGTTTCAATCTGATTCTACACGAAGGAAAAGAAAGAATACGCTTTCTGTTTTGATGAAATTATTGTCAAAAGAATGTTGCTATTGTATGTTTGTAATTTGATGCAAGCATTTCCTTTGTAACCTTTTTTTTATTATTTCAAATAGAAAAATCAAAATTCAATTGAAGTGAAAATAGGACGAAGTAATTTCTCTTATTGTCAACAATACGCATCATCTCAGATATTTATTCGTTTCAGTGCAATGTATAAAAAAACGTCTTATGAGTAGGTTATACTCTGAACAGTCGAGAAATATTTTGAAACAATTAACGGCAATCGAGTGAATCACATTTATGATTTCTCGAATGAAATAGCAAATATTGTGAAAAATCAAGAGTGAAACTTGAACCAATCTTATTAATTGGAATTGCTATGTTTTGTAAAAAGATATTCTAAATAAAAAAGCAAAGAACACTATGGTGACACATAGAAAATTAATTGAAAACTACGAACCTTTGAACTCATTCAGACACGACAAATGCCCAGGAGATTCAATCCGACCAGTGGATCCGATCGTTTCCGACATCGGATCCTATGGATTCCGTTGCTTTTCGGTCGGCTCCGTTGAATTCCGGCGATTTCCTAACTAACGGATTCCGGTCCGGTTTCCGCCGGAAAAATTCCATTAAGTTCCGCAAAATTTCGACCCGGAATTCGTCGGAAACGGTCCGGCGAAATCTGGCCTGGAATCCCTTAGTTAGGAAATCGTCGGAATTCAACGGAACCGATCGATTCCGATCGATTCCGACGTACCCTGATTCTCTTGGGTGTAGTTGAACTTAGATTATTTGGATCAAAGTTACGTTATTTATCGCCTGATTTTTAAAATAAAAATGAAAATAAAACTTACATGAAGTAATCAGCTGAAATGTAAGGTTCAATTTTCAGGACTCTAAGTTCGGTTTGAGACAGTTATATAGACAAAAAATAAACTTTTGATCGATAATGTTATTCAATTCAAAAATTATGAAAAATCCTTTGATAATAATAATTATTCTCTCGCTAAATTTTCAACGTCATTAAAATCAGGAAAAGAAAACAATTTATATATAAACTTCGAATTTTTGACAAAAACTAATCTCCCATTGAATTCAATCGAGCATCAAGTAAATGAAGCTGAAACACTACTAAAAAATACACCAAGTTGAAAATTATTATATTGGAATCAAACAGATTATTGGTGTACGTTTGTTTTATAGTGACTACCTAGATTAATAAAAATTTCATTTCATATATGATCATTTAATATAAGCTTTCATGACTAATTGCATTGTGAACAAAAATACAATTGGCACTGTTTTACAAGAGAAAATATGATCGAAGAAAATCAATTTTGCTTCACGATCATTAAGAGAACAAAAAATATGATTATAGTTTAGTGATTAGAAATTGTGATTACATTCCATGAAAAACTAAAAAAAATAACAATCCATGCCTTGAATAAATCAAGATCTATGTATAGCTCTATAATAACATATTCTAAAAACATAAAAAAAAACATCTGCATATCGAAATAAACAAGATGAATGAAACACAATTGTTTTTTTTGTAATTTGATGTTTATGTTGAATACCTTCATTTTTTGTTGATTATTGTTTTCAAACATGCACTCTCGCTCGGATGCCTGAAAGAAAGACTACGTCAAGTAGATATATAATCAATGATGCTTTAATTTTTAATAGTAGAGTTAAAGTCAACATAGACTTTTCACATTTGTCATCAGATAGCTGAAGATACATTTGTAACAATATAGTTAATATTGAATTAATTCAGAAACGCTATTGCTTTGAATACAATACAAAAAATGACTTCTTGGGACAACAATAGTTTTTCAAGACCAGTTGATCCATCATCATCATCAATGCGAAATGCTCCAGCACTACCGATGTCAACAAATAATTATTTTGCACCAGTTCCAAAATATAGTTCTCAAGTTCATCCACAGAATACTGGCGATGGACGACAAATACAACAACCAGGGTATCAACCAAAATATATTGAAGCATCGCAACCAACACGAGTAGATATCAGTCAGACGAGGTAAAAATCAACAGAAAT